ACGGCGGCGATCGACGCACTAACGGCCCCAAAATCTGTAACGCAATTGAAATCTTGTATGGGTTCAATCCACAGCCTTCAAAAACACCTACCGGCATTAGCAGATTTTTCAGGGCCACTAAGACTGCTTCCTTGCAAGAAAAACGACTATAAATGGACCGAGGAGTGCGAAAATGAGTTTCAAAAAATCAAATTGGGGGTAGCTAACATCGTCGAATTAAAACAATTTTAAATCCATAGAGATATTAGAATTGTATGTGATGCGAGTCATAAAGGTCTCGGAGCGGTACTGGAACAATTGGGTACGGAAGGATGGCGCCCAATCTCATTCGCATCAAGATTTTTAAACGCAGCCGAAAAGAAAAACTCCACTAACGAGCTCGAAATGTTGGCAGATGTGTGGGGAGCCAAATACTTCAGAAATTATATATTAGGAAGACCATATACCGTAATAACAGACCATAAAGCTTTAGTTTCACTACTCAAAGAGAATAGTAAGAAAAACAAAACCCTATTTTCGAGACTAACACGATGGCTAGACAGACTAATTCCGTTCCATTTCGTCATAGAACATAAACCGGGCGCAAAGTTCGGATTTGCAGATTATTTGTCGAGATACCAAAGCGAACCAAAGCCTATAAGTCGGTACGATAACTTATTCACCAGCGCTGAACAGAACTCTATAAGGAAATCCCTTGGTTTCAAGGTCAATTCTCAACCCTTGCTAAACAAAATTGGATTAAAACACAAGAAACTGGTTCTAATCAATCTAAACAGGACTCGTCCAATCAGAACCGCAAACGGGAAAGATGCACGCGCACAACAACAGAAGAGAGTCGTGTATAAGAAAACTGAACAATAAGAGTCAATCAATTTACAGACCGAATGCATCAACAAAATCCAACGGATATTCAGTGTGCACTATACATCGTCCCCCTGGAAGATGGTTCATTAAGCCTTATTTACAACAATTAGACAAAATGGATGAAAGTTCAGATTGCTCCTACCAGTCATCGAAATCGATTCAGAAGTAAATTCTTCAATCAGACTAGATGATAATCTTGATAGTAGTGTTGATACAACTGTTTCAAATCCAGAAATTGAAGCCGTTACTAAAACTACACGGGATTCAAAAAAAATATACGGTACTGTCCATTCATTCCAAATTTCCGGGTGAAATATTTCCAACTATAAACCCTAATCAACGTGTCATGTCATTTTTTTATTTTTTCAACGTGATTTTAAAATTTTAAAGAAATCTACAGCCTTAACTGAATTACTGAAATATTTAACTTGGAGTTGATCGCTTCAAACATACCTGCAGATATCAACTTACTTAAAGTGAAAAAAAGCCTTTCAAAAACAAACATGAAGGAGCTGATGAAGGTGGGGAAATACTGGGCTCAAAACGCTAATCATTTCTCAATCAAGAACGACTGTGTCATTTCTCTACCACTCCAAGTACCAATTCACTTTCACTTCTACCACCATGGAAAGTGAAATATGTTCGAGGCGGCGCGGGATGTGCAGTATCCATATATGTACCGCAGTCTAGCGGCGAAAGCAACGCAATGACAACAGTGCACTGATGCGGGTAAGAAATTAAAAACGTTGCTACCCAAGGGAGATGTCAGGAAGGATCCCCAACCATGGGAACCGAATGAACATTTACAGTTAGAGTTCTGGGGCCCCATAAGCTGTTTAAATGAACAGACAAAACATGTTCTGAATGAACAGAAAAAATAGATTGCGATGGACAGTTTTTCGAGGTGGCCATCGGCTATGGTTACTACGACCAACACGTCAGATAAAGTACTAAAACTTTTGGATAAGTATATCTACCAACGCGGAGTACCTCGAAGAATCCACGTTGACCAAGAGTTATTTTTTTTTGTCAAAAGCGCTTAAAAACTTCTGTAATAGCGAAGGCATCGAGCTAATATACTCCCCAGTAAACAATCAGCTGGGCACAGGTCCGGTAAGAGAACTAACGGAAGCCTCAAGAAGTTCGTACTCACCTATGCAACCGAAAAGGAGCATAATTATTTAGAGTGTATGGTTGATAAAGCGTTGGGCGCGCTACGTTTCAAAAATGCGACGACTAAACGGACGCCCTTTGAAGCACACCACGGCCGTGAAACGGATACCGTTTTACGTAATCTCACGAAAAAACGAAGTCTGAAAAATTTGAACTGGAGTAACGTCCATTAACAAAAATGTTAGTGTTCAGAAGAAAATGACTCGGAGATGAACACTGTAGCGTATCCAGAGCACTCGAACTGGGAGGAAAAGTCGGACATCGTGTACGCCCCAGCTCTAAAGAAGACACCCCTGATTCTGGATAGTGATCAGCAAATGAAAGTGGACGAAGGGGAGGTGACAAAGACCAAGCTGTCTCACCAAGGGAGTGGGATGACCGGAGATATCTACACTTGTACCACAAACCGAATGCTAAACCGGCATAAACTATTCAAAGCTAATGTAGTCTCTGAATCTAAGCAAACCGTCAAAATGAAAAACGGGTCTGTGCTTAGGAAAACTGCCGTAGCAGTGAAACCAAAACCTCCGAAAAAACGTAAGCCGGCGACAGTGACGAAGATGCTCGTAAGCGCGAAACGAGGAGTGAATCGATGCGGCCCAAAACTGTAAATATTAAACCATCAAAAAATGCCGAACTATCTGACAGCTCGGTCAGTGAGGATCATTAGTCATTGCATTCGCTACCATTACGACTACCAGTCGAACTTGCGGCGCGGGGGGAGGCAATCGCAGTTGGGTAAGAGACGAGTGGCACGATGACACAAGAGGGATGGTAAACGGGTGCTAAACTAAAGAGTACAAGAGCAAAACGGGGAAAGGAAAGCCAAAACAGACTAAGCAGTAGTCACTACATTTTACCTTTCGAAACACAGACCGAGAGTTCGGGGACGCGAAAAAAAGCGAGGCGACACAAACCGGTGGATAAGAGGGGAAGAGTAATGATCGAGTCAGTCGCTGAAAATATCCAGGGGCGGCAAACAAGTGGAAGTATCCAGGGGGGGGGGGGGGGTGGGGCAAAAAGTTTAACTCAAAAAACTCATAACCCAGGGAGAGGGGTGGCCATAAGTCTAAAACTCAAAATTTCTTCGTGTTGGTTAAAGGTTGCGTGCTCTTCATTATATTAAATCTAAAGTGGTATGTATTTAAATTTTACATCCGTAGGGAAATGTGAGGGGCTATATATTTAGATGTCAATCGTTTCAGTTGACACCTATCATGATTTATATTCTTGAGAATTTCTCATATCACTTCTAAGTGTTAGCTGGTACCTGCCCGTCAGTCAATCTAGGTCTGTCTAGTTGTTGACCTCTAATTCAGTGTCTGAATTCTATGTATTAGAATCAAGTTGAACTTAACCTTTACAATCGTACCGTTTTTATTTAACCTTGATAAAAGTATCAAAATGAAACTATTTAGCTTGCCTCAGTTCAATTTGAAACGATTTTGAGTCTGGATAACTTGCCACGCATAAATAGTTTGCGGAGTAAATTATAATATGAAAAAATTATTTCTGCAGCAAAAACGCACTTTTGTCTAGTGCAAGCACACTTGCTTGGCAATCCCAAGAATTGCGGATCGAAGCCCATACGCAATCAATTTTCCTAAAACCTGTCCGTACTAAAAAATCACTCCGGGTATATATGTTTCTCCTTTTCTTCGAAAGTCGGAAAAAAATTTAAATGAGAAATTATGACAGGTAATTTTTAACTACTGAAAACATAATTCAAACCTAATTTTGAAGCCTAAGTATGCAAAAGACAATGAGTAAAGATAATCTAATCCTTCCAGATTAAACAATTTTTCAAATTTTGTCAAACTTTTACGATTAAAAATTACCTTAAGTAGTCGGAGGCGAATAATTTTAATTAAATCCGAATCGAAGGATTTGATAAAACACAACTTGAAATAGTTTCTTTCCTAACAAAAAAGAATTTTAGCTCAGGGTCGTTTGATCCCATCAGATAAGCCGGTGGTCTCTATGCTTTCTGAGAATGTCCGTCCAAACTTTTTGAGAATTTTCTCCAACATATGGACCCCAGTTTGGAAGAACCTAGTTTTCCTTGTTTTTCGTTGCTGAAATGCTTTGACATCAACTGCGATTTACTCGGATTTTTTTCTCAAGTACTTAGCTTCTTGCTAAATTTAATTGTTGCCACCCTTAAAAGAGGGTAGGAACTCTATTTTTAGGTTAAACTTAATTTCTTTTATATTCGACCTTTTTCTAGCAAAATCAGGTCCCAAAGTTTTTTAAACTGGTTTGTGTGATGTATCATAAAAAACCCGATAAGTTGTGATTCGAACATATTGCAATTATTTCAAACGAATATTCATTATTGAGAGAAACCGGTTCGATTTTTTTGCTTTTAAATCTAACTTTGAACAATTAAGTTGAGCGCTTGTCGTCAGAAAAAAAATTGAGCAAATTCTCTTCCATTAATTAGAAAAGCTTTCAATAAATTTTGTTATTTTATGTAGGTTTATTTTATTTTTATTCTTTCGGAGACAACTGTTATCGATTTTGAGTTTTCCTTGAAGTTTGAAGCTTTCGTCTGACCTCTCATTATTCACTCAGTTTTTGACCTCGCTTTCGTCTGACCTCTCATTTTTGAAAATTGGTTATGGTAGGTTTATTGATTATGGTAGATTGATTATGGTGGTAACTTTTCATGCTACGTGCACAGCAATCGGCTATTGTTGTTTAATTGAGGACTTTTTTGTAATGCGCAGACTATAGGAAAATAATATGCGACCAGTTTGAAAAAAGTAGCCTTCCAAACGTTGCTTTTGAAAAAGTTGGTTTCGAACGCTGCTTTTTGAAAAGATGCACCACCCATGCTAAAAATTCTGAAATTCCTTCTGCTAATTGCGTTTCAAAACTCGTGATCAGGCTAAGAATTCCTGTGTGACTGCGATTAAAAATCAACCTTTTTCAGAGAACATTTAATTTTTTTGATACTTTCTCAAATAGCTCTGATTTGAGAGCCCTGATTCAGTCCTCTTTTTCCTAATATTTTCCGGGAAGCGGCCCCATTCGTTCGAACTTCTCTCCCAGTGTTACTCCGAGTTTCCGCTCCTGCCCGGGTTTCAAGCTGACTCCGGCTCTTCCATGCATGAACCGGTAGTTGCAAGCCTGCAAAGAAATGAAGAATTAAGAAGACTTCGATCTTAACTAATACTGCAACTCTGCTGAGTTGATGGCTCAGTGAACGAGTTCCGGTATTTTTTAATGCGGAAAGTGAACCGAAGGACACTCATGATAATTTCAAGAATTACCTCTTACTTAAATGGTTGCATGAAAATTTTTATGGTTTCTTTTATTCGACACGCCCCTCCACACAATTTTTTCTTCAATATGCTCGTTTTTGAAATACTTATGTTCGATTTTGAAAAAACATATATGTTTTATTGGTGCCTTCAATTCAGCTTCGTTTTTTTGGTGCCTTCATTTATGAAGTGTTTCCTTTATGTTTCATTGGCACCTTCAATTGGAAACGCTTCGGTGTCAAGGCCTGCATGAACTTGGTCAAAACATATCGGAGTCCGTAAAACAAAACTTGGTCGAAACATAAAGTTGTGGTCGCTCCGTTCGAAACATATCTGGACTTGTCAACTTTGTCAAAACAAACCGAATTGTGGTCGCGTAAGGTCAAAATATTGGCGTTTCTGCGCACTGGTTGAAATATAAGCGTTTTTGGTCGCACTGGTTGAGTCACTTAATCTATGAAGTCGATATATGAACAATACTGCTCGTATCAGGGCGAAGCCCTGAATATTCCGACTGCCTTTAAGGTTTATGGAGCAGTAAAATCATGAACAACATTAAAAAAATCAAATTACTTAAAATAAAACGAAAATTTTTATTTCTAAAAATTGAATTTTTTTTCTATGAAAACCATTCCCCCATACGCCGTATAAAGTACAAAACAATAGGTTTCGCTCCTTGTAACAAATCAAATATGGCGAATAAGCTTCTTTCAACCAGTTTGGAGCGATTTCTAAGACGGATTAAATCTCCGCTCACGCGCTAATAGCGCGAAATACATCGCGCGTTAATTGTCCCTAAATGGCCAAAATGGCAATCTTTGAACCCCCATAACATTATGAAAAAAGATCACAGGTGAAATATCTTTTCAAATTTAAGCTCAGGACAATAATACCTTTTGAATGATAAAGAAAAAATTCCGTCAAAAATGGCTAGTTAAAAAGTCGAAATTTAAAAAACCCACCCCGAGCACAACTATTCCGTCACTTTCGTATCGAAAGTCGGAACAACAAGACTGCTCGTATCAGGGCGAAGCCCTGAATGTTTCTACTGCCTTTTAAGATTTATGGAGCAGTTATAACACTAAAAAGTTAAACGTAATAAAACAAAATAAAAAAAAAACATTCTAAAATTTGAAATTTGTTATGAAAATCATCAACCCACACGCCATATAAAAAGCAAAAGAATAGATTTAGCTCCTAGTAACAAATCAATTATAGCCAATAAACTTCTTTCTACCAACGCGTTAATAGCGCGGAGGATCGCGCGTTAATTGTCCCAAATTGGCCAAATTGGCAATCTTTGAACCCCCGTAACTTTACGAAAAATGATCACAGTTGAAATATCTTTTCAAATTTGAGCTCAGGACAACAATAATTTACGAATGATATTTTAAAAATACCGTCAGAAATGGCTAGTTAAAAAGTCGAAATTTGTCTGAAAAAAACCCACCCCCAGCACAAATATTCCGTTACTTTCGTCACGAAAGTTGGAACAATTAGTCACAGTGATTGCTCTCAGATTCAAGATTTTCAAAGCAAGGTTTGAATGTTTTTTTTTAACCGATTACGCTCAAAATCTTGCTGAAAAATTGAGCGTAATTGGCAGTCTCTTTAACAAATCGTTATCAAATTGACATTTTTTTTTTGTACGCTAAGCCTACTTTTATGGGAAAGTGAGTTGAGTTTACCAGCGCAGCCTCCCCTGGCTTCCAGTTGATCTTCAGTCCGTGGTTGTCTGCCACTTCAATGCATTCCATCACTTCCTCCTTAGTAAACTCACTCCCGTCTCCCAGGTACATCACATGCGGTCTGTCCTGATACAGCAAACACATACATTAATTTAAACGGACAAAAACAAAACAAGGACTTTTTCTTGGATGGAGGGGGATTTTCAAGAAAAATATTGAACGTTTTGTCGACCATTTTTTTCAGCGGCCGTCCAAATTGATTTTCCCAGTTCGCCCAAAACACTATAAAGACCCTATTAACCAGTCAAAAACAGCCAAAAGTAACGTTTTTGAATACTTAATGAGTCGTTTTAATTAAGGAAACCAGGAGGAATTTCCAAACCAGTTTCAACAAACTTTTTACGAATTTTAATTTAAAAAAATTACTGTTAAATTAAAAAACTGTTATATTGATTGATTAGAAATAAACGACATAAATTGTTGAAGGAATGCATGCTAGAGCCAGGCAAGAACTCTTTGAAACTAATTTGAAAATTCAAACGGCTATATTCGAAATCTTCGGAACAAAATTGAACAAGAGGAAGCAACCAAACAAGTTTTCAAGTGGATTTTAAAAAACAGCGGAGCCTCAAAAATTAAAAGTTAGAACTTCGACAATCGATTTTCTTAAAAAGCAAAAGTGAATTCATATAAACAACTAAACAAACCAAACAAATTTAAAAATTGATATAAAAAATCAGCAGGACCTCGGAACCCAAGCAAAAAGCTTAAAAACAACCAAAAATTATCAGCAACAAAACTGCTAGCATCAAAACGACAACCTATTGTTCTGAATGCCTTTTAAGGTCTATAAAGCAGTTTTAGCTTTAGTGTTCAGACTTTCGATACAAAAGTAACGGAAAATTTGAGCTCGGGGTGGGTTTTTTTTCTTCAGATAAATTTCGAGTTTTTAACTAGCCATTTTGACGGAATTTTTTATATCAATTAAAAGGTATTGTTGTCTTGAGCTTAAATTTGAAAAGATAATTCACCTGTGATCATTTTTCGTAAAGTTGTGGCGGTTTAAGAATAGCCATTTTGGCCAATTTGGGACAATTAACGCGTGATATATTTCGCGCTTTTAACGCGAAAGCGAAGATTTAATCCCTCTTAAAAATCGTTCCAAATTGGTTCAAGGAAGCTTAATTGCCATATTTGATCAGTTAATAGGAGAGAAATCTATTCTTTTGTACTTTATATGGCGTGTGGGGGGTTGATTTTTATAGAAAAAATTTCAAACTTTCGTAAAAATTTTTCGGATTTTATTTTATCACATTTAATATGGTGATGATATTTATGTAATTACTGCTCCATTAGCCTTAAAAGGCAGTCGGAGCTTTCAGGTCTTCGCCCTGATACGAGCAGTCTTGTTAAAGTGATGAATTTTTCAAAAAAAAAATATGAACTCTCTACAACAAAATCATCCCCACACGCCATATAACGTACCGAATGGTAGATTTTGGTCATATTACCAAAAAAAATTACGGCAAATATTTGGAACGACCTGCGTCAACTATTTGGAACGATTTCAAAGACACATTGAATCTCCGCTTACGCGTTAATAGCGCTAAATATATCGCACGCTATTTGTCGCAAAATTGCAAAAATGGCAATTTTTTTAACCCCGTAATTTTACAAAATTGGTCGCAAGTGAAATATCTTTTTAAATATGAGCTCAGGTCAACAATAACTTGCAAATGGTGTAAAAAAAATTGTCAAAATGGCTAGTTAAAAAGTCGAAGTTCGTCTGTTTCATTGATTGGTAAAAAACATAGTTTTTCTCTCAGTGAATGACATTCTTATCATAATCAATTTCGCAAAAACTAAGCTGATTTTTTTAAAATACACCTTTGTGAAAGCTCGCTGACGCTTGAAAAAGCCTTAACGATAGGGCGCAGAAACGAAATCCTAAACTTTTGTTCCGTAACGCGTACTTACTGAAATTTCTTATCGTGCTGATAATGCTGAAAGATACCTATAGTTAGACGCAACCATGAGACGACGTATTCGTTTTTGAGCATGATCCATTTTTTGCAGTAAGAAGGGAATTTAAAAATTTAAGGCCCGAACGCGTAAGCTGCAGAAATGAAATCCCAAATTTTTGTTCCATTACGCATGATTACTGAAAATTCTACTTCAGGGTATTAGACTGAAACATAATTAAACTTAGATAGACGCAACCATGAGACGTAACCATGTTTGAGCATGTCCATTTTTTGCTGCAAGAAGTTGACCATTAGTTTTGCAATTTACGTTTCACACGGATTAGTTTTTCCACTGCATAGATTTTTCACTGCATTGCAGACGGTATATATAAAAAGCAAGACTGCTCGTATCAGGGCGAAGCCCTAAATATTCCGACTGTCTCTTAAGCTTTTATGGAGCAGTAAAAACACTTAAAATTTAAAAGTATTAAAAAAATGAAAAATTTTTTTTTCTAAAATTTGAAATTTTTAATGAAAATCATCCTCCCACACGTCATTTAAAGTACAACTATGGCAAATAAGCTTCTTTCAACCAATGTGGAACGATTTTAAGACGGATTAACTCTCCGCTTACGAGTTAATAGCGCGAAAAATTGCGCGTTAATTCTCCCAAATTGGCCAAATTGGCAATCTTTGAACCCCCGTAACTTTACGAAAAATGATCACAGTTGAAATATCTTTTCAATTTTGAGCTCAGGACAACAATAATTTACGGATGATATAGAAAAAATACCGTCAGAAATGGCTAGTTAAGAAGTCGAAATTTGTCTGAACAAAAAAAACCCATCCTGAGCACAAATGTTCTGTTACTTTCGTATCGAAAGTCGGAACAACAAGAAAAAGAAAGTGAAATTAAACTTTATCAAAACGTAGTTCATTTTTGCTAAAATCGCAAATCGCGCTCAGTTCTTGCAAAAAAATGCAATCAAGTAAAACTTTTTAAAAAATTGGGAGATAAGGCTTCTTAGGAGAGTTGTGCGAGACTTTTGATCTCCAAGATCACAAGAGTCTACAAAAAGTCCAACATCATAAGATTACAGAAAAATTCAGTTTTTAGTAAAAACACTTTTATTCAAAACTTTTAAATAGCTCCGACTTATCCGACTTACAAATGCAAACAAGATTGCTCGTATCAGGGCAAAACCTCGATCGTTCCGACTGCCTTTTAAGGTCTATGGATTAGTAAGAACCTGAAAAATTGAATGTGATGAAAAAAATTAAAATTTTTTTGTTTAAAGTTGACATTTTTTTGTGAAAACATCCCCCCACACGTTATATAAAACACAAAAGGATAGATTTCGCTCCTATCAACAAATCATTTATAGCATATAAGCATCCTTGAACCAATTTTGAACGATTTTAAGACGGATTAATGCTCCGCTTACAAGCTAATAGCGCGAAATATATTGCGCGTTAATTGTCGCAAACTGCCCAGAGCGCCTATTTTTTAACCCCCAGAACTTTTCGAAAATGATCACAGGTAAAATATCTTTTCAATTTTGAGCTCAACGCAACAATACTTTTCGAATGAAATGAAAAATTCCGTCGAAAATGGCTAGTTGAAATGTCGAAGTTTGTCAGAAGAAAAAACCCAAATATTCCGTTAGTTTCGTAACGAAAGTCGTAGCAGAAAACAAATATTCCGTTACTTTCGTATCGAAAGTCGTAACAGAAAAAAATATTTGAGAACAAAACATTCGAACACGTCTATCAGTCATCAGAAATTGTCAAAACTATTCTAATGTTGCTATATCAGCAACAAACGGTTATAGCAACTTGTTGCATATTCTGCATTTTTTTTGCTGATATTATTGCATACTCTGCATTTGTATTTACCAAAATGGTACTTGTGTACTTGAGTCCACATCAAAAACGAGTTTAGCAAGTTGTTGCTTTTCTGCAATGGTTTGCTGAAATTTTGGTGTTTTTGGCAAATATACAATCAAGTTGTTTTTGAACTTTAAAAAATTTTTAGAGCCAGTTCGATGGTCAACACATAAATTAGGCTCCTGAGGATGAATCAAAACCCAACTATTAATAACACTGCTCAATAAGGGCAAAGCTCTGAAAGTTTCGACTGCCTTGTAAGACTTATGGAGCAGTAATAACATAAAAAAGTTAAAGGTAATAAAATGAAATCAAAAAAATTTCTAAAATTTGAAATTTGTTATGAAAATCATCACCCCATACGCCATATAAAAAACAAAAGAAAAGATTTAGCTCCTTGTAACAAATCAATAATGGCCAATAAGCTTCTTTCAACCAATTTGGTTTGGAACAGTTTCTAAGACGGATTAACTCTCCGCTTACGCGTTAATAGCGCGAAAGATCGCGCGTTATTTTTCCCAAACTGGCAATCTTTGAACCCCCGTAACTTTACGAAAAATGATCACAGTTGAAATATCTTTTCTAATTTGAGCTCAGGACAACAATAATTTTTGAAAGATTTTTTAAAATACCATCAGAAATGGCTAGTTAAAAAGTCGATATTTTTCTGAAGAATAAAAATCCACCGCGAGCACAAATATTCCGTTACTTTCGTATCGAAAGTCGGAACAACAAATGGCATGTTTTCATACATGCCGTCGGTACCATTTCCGCGCGTAAATTTGTTTTGATGTTACACAAATGCAACCAAAACTGCTTCTATCAAGGCAAAGCCCTGAACAATCTGACTGCATTTTAAAGTCTATGGATTAGTAAGAACCTGAAAAATTTGAATGTAATAAAAAAAGTTTAAAATTTTTTTATTTATATTTGACATTTTTTTGTGAAAACATCCCCCACAAGTCATATTGGAAATGAAAGGATAGATCTCGCTCCTATTAACAAATCATTTATAGCATATAAGCTTCCTTGAACCAGTTTTGAACGATTTCCAAGACGGATTAACTCTCCGCTTATGCGTTAATAGCGCGAAAGTTCATGCGCTAATTGTCTCAAACTGGCCAAATTGGCAATCTTTGAACCCCCGTAATTTTACAAAAAATGATCACAGTTGAAGTATTTTTTCAATTTTGAGCTCAGGACAACAATAATTTACGGATGATATAGAAAAAATACCGTCAGAAATGGCTAGTTAAGAAATCGAAATTTGTCAGA